TTTTAAGGCTATGTGTTTGTATTTTTGAACCTTTTGTTTGGATGTTCAAATGAAATATTGGTTCCATTTTGGTGTACGTGGCAAGCTCAAAAACCAGTTATAGAAATTAAAATTTAGAACGTTAGTTAGTTTGGTTATTATATTTGAATAAAGAAAATGAAAGATTGGAATGCAACTATATCGAAAAGTAGAATATTAATCAACTTGGATTGTGCTTTTCTGGAATTCGTGGTAAAATGATCAAGTCCATTGTAATATTTATCTACTTCTCGATGGTTTGGAAGGATTTGTAAGACGTGCATATCATTGATTTTCAACTTTCATGTGTATTTTTCTTGTAAATAAATTATTGTATGATCAATCTTTTGACTTTTTGATAGCAATCATTTCATTAACTTTTATTATTTTTTTCCGGCTATATAAAAAATTAATTACCCTTCATTTAGTTTTTTTTTAATCTCAGCATGCACAATCTTGGAGTTGCCTTTAGTACCATTTGAAATCTTATGCTAGGTCAAGTAGCTGACAAATGAGTATCTATTGAGAAGGTGAAAGATGAGGAATTTTTTCACTTTGCAGAAGGAGCCAGCACAAGATTGAAAGTCAATGTTGATATTCGGAGGTACTCATAAATATTTAATTTTCTTTCATTTTTTCTACTTCGTGTATCCTTGAGCTATGTTATAGATTTTGCATGATTTTAATTTATGGACATTATCATGTTGTGAACCCCTAAGTTAATTGAAATATATGCTGTATTACAAAAGAATTACTCATTTTCCTCAAGTTGCCTAAGGTTTAACATAATGAGGTCATTTCCAGTACAACCTTGCCTTTTTTCTGTTATGGTCTACGTTTTTCTCCTTTGTCCTTTTTCCTGTTAGTAATTTTTTCATATTTTCTTTGTTATCTTTAGGTTAAGTCGGTGTTGGACAAGGAAAATTTTACAATGGAAGAGCTTCTGGATGAAGAAGAGATAATTCAAGAATGTAAATTATTAAATAGTCTCCTCATAAATTTGTATGACACTTTTACTTTTCAGTTGCATATTTCTATTTATCAATCTTGTCATCTATGTTATGTGTGTCTTTTTAATCATGATTCCTTGGTAATCACTCCCTTACCATGACCTGCTGGTTTCACTTTTAGTTTTGAAGTTTTGTGAAGACAGTGTGAAATTTTATTGGTGTTTAGTTTGAGAAATAGAGCTCAGGTTGAATAGTTGTTGCACTACATCGTTCGGGAGTCTTCAGATGATGCAGATTGCAAACGAATGTTCAGACGACAAATCGTTTCAGTTTTCAAATCAAATTTATTTTTCCCCAAAACTGATTTTATAAACATGAGGTATTAACTCATTTTACTTGGTTGTTGATTAGTTACTACAATAGGTCAAGAAATCATGATCTATGTCAAGGATATGCACACTAGATTTAACAAAAAAAAGTTTGAAATTGTTACATATCCTTTGATTTCTAATAGCAGTCTTGAAACTCTCGTCTCTCGATCGTCCATTGATTCTGGGTATGAGGTTAAGTAGTTATTTTGAAATGGATAATCATTTTAACAAAATCACTTAGAAAAAATATAACAGTAATCGTGCAACTTTTACACCAATTGATATTTACCAACGGAATCTGTTTGTAATCAGCAACGGATAATCCGTTAGCAAACGATGGATTATCCGTTAGCAACGGTGATAGAATGTCCATAGAATAAATCACGGACTTGAAATTTTTATTTATAAAAATTCCAAAAGAGTTTATATACAATGATAGTTTAGATGCTTCATAATTTTTTATACAGCGAGTTTGATAGTTTATTTTATTTTTTAACTGGTTTGAGTCCAAATATGAAAGAGTCAAGGATGATTTGCATGAGTTTGATCCATGCATAGATCGATGCTGTCAATGGCCCGTCAAATGGTTGTGTTTACAGGTTTATCGTGTTCTTGGCGTGCACACTTCACTAGACGTTCACTTTACGAGTGATGAAGATGTGAATAATTTGAAGTCGAAAATGGCTACATTAAATACGATAACAGAAAACAATCAAAGGATTGATGGTCTCGCTCTACGGCTTGAACGAGCTGAAAAAAAAATTATCAAGGGCGCCGAGTTATGAGAAGTGATGCAAGGTATGTTCTAGTTTCAGTTCACAAAATGATGATATGTAGGACTTGTGATATTTTGTATTTGAAATTACAAAAAAGCTAAACAAACTCAATGATAAGGGCATTTTTCAGGGAGTGAAGTGGCAATTTTTGATTGACAATGTTTTCTTTAATTTTTATTTAACTACCAATGAGAAAATGTCAAGTGTATGTGTGTTTTTTTTCCTGTAACTTACCATGTCCCTATAGCATTTCTCTTGAAATTAATATTGTTTTGGTATTTTGGTAATCGGTGGAAGTGGGATATATAGTATTTGTTATAGCATTCTGCATCCACGAAAACAACCCGAACACTAGGTATCTACACTCGAGACATATACTTTGTCTCTAGAAAATGACAAGATATAAGTAGGATTTAATAGAGAGAAAAAATATACAAATAAATAAGTTTATAATTATACAAGAAAATCAAGAGAACAAAAGAACATTGGGTCATGCTACATGTACCGAATATTTTTACGTAATCTTTTACCGACTACTCACAATAGGGGGTAGGGACCACATCTTGGGATTTTTTATTCACGCGGGGCACGCGTACATGTGAGAGGGTGTAAACAATTCAGTAGGGAGTATTATGTACAAATAGATTTATCCAAGAACATTATAAATAGATTTCATTAACTATTCTTGTAAGTTGCATCCTTTCGTTCGAGACTTGAAATAAAAAAGAAACCTTTATATAAGTTACCAGTCAACTTTACACAATTTTCATGTCATCTTATTGAAGATGGATCAAAACAATTTAACACTAATTTTCAAAATATTTTGACTAGACAACCCTGTGAATGAGCCTAGACTAAGTTGAGTTGGTTCCAATCCAATTCTTAAACGAGTTGAGTCATCTCAAGCCTCAACTCTCAATCTATTTTGACACCGCTAAGCATGAGATTCTTCTCCCATGTCATAATGCCGTATTGAATGATATACAATTCATTAGATATGTTGACAAGTTGTCTCAAACAGACCAACCCAACCTAACCGTTCATATTGGGTTGGGTTTGGGTTGAGGCAAAAATCGATCCAACCCAACCTATGTCCACTATTTGTACATGATCATATGGCCCTATACTACTAGGGTTGCCACATGACCCCCCTATAGGTGGGGGTACATGACCATATGGCTCTGTACTGGCGCCCCGTATAGGGGGGGCCTGTAAATATGTAACATTCCTCTATGTGCAGGTCAAAACTTAAACCTTTTTTTTAATTACTGAAAGTCCAACACATCATTTTAAGATAATTAAACTCTCTCGTACAACTATATATCGAAAGTATAGAAGATTTGTAATGAAAAAGTACAATAAAGCTATTTGCACACGACAATTTGGCCATATACTACTAGGGTTGCCACATGGCCCCCCCAATAGGCGGGGGTACAGGACCATATGGCCCTGTACTGGCGCCACTCTTGAACAGGCCCCCCGCCAGAACCGAAAAAGAATGTGATAAAATTTGACCAATATTAAATTATATCCCATAGCCATGGCTGCTTCAGGTGCTTTACTCACAAGAGCAAATAATTAATTGATAATGTCAGCTAATACATTAGGTTTAAATAAGTGTTTTAAATTGATTAAAAAATTCCATACAATGGAGATAAAAATTCATAAGTTATTTAGATTAAACCACTTCCTAAACTTGAATTGTTTTTATTTTAATGGAATTACTAAAAAAGGTATGATTCTTCCGAAAGTTGCATTTCTTAAAAGCTTATTGCACGTACAGCTTTGTCATCTGTTACCTGCTCTACAATTATTAATTTTTGTGGCTGAAAATTTAGTACACAAGACATGTCTTGGACTATATAACTAGGAAAGTAAGCAAAACTGTTACACTAGAAATCGTTAAGAAGAATGGAAAATGATACAGCAAAGGATGATGTCGAAAATGGTGGTTCTATCTTGTGTGATGAACTGGTTGAAGAAGGGGCAGTGGCTGTCGTTGACAGATGCATGAGTTTTACTCGAACGTATCAACAATCTCCTCAGAGCATAGCTAAGGTAAAAGTGAATACAAGTTTTGTAATAGCTCATTTATGAAAATTATACGCGTGTCAAACTTTTGATTTTAAAAAACGAATGGACCTAATGTGATTTGCCATGTTAAAGACAAGATTATTTTTAAATGAGATGATTCAACATGGTATCATAGCAGTCAAATGTTCTTAGTTCAAGTCTCGTTATCATACAAAAAACTGTAAATGCCAATTTCAGCATGTACGCGAAGGGTCTAGTTGATAAATTTGTCGACATCTTTATTAGAATCTCATATTGATCGGTGATATTTACAAGATCAACTTAATAAGGTGAGGACAATCCTCTCTTAGCAAGCCGATTTTGTTAGGTCGAGTTAGGCCCAATATCCTTTTTAATATGGTATCAGAGCAGACCCAGTTTTGTAATGTTGGGTACACTCAATATCGATTTGTTCACAGTTGTTTGATATGGTCCACGCTATGCGTGAGGGGGCGTATTAGAATCCCACATTGAATGGTGATATTTACAAGATGCACTTAATAAGGTAAGGGCAATCCTCCATTAACAAGTCGGTTTTGTTAGGTTGAGTTAGACCCAATATCATTTTTAATAATCTATAAGGTTTTTCAAAGTTGATTTCTGTAATGTTCATCAAAAAAAAAAAAGTTGATTTCTGTAATAATATCTGAGGTTGATGAATTTTTATGGTCTCAGGAGTATCCAGCCATGCAGACTTTGGTGTTAGCTTACCAGTCCCTTGGAGTTGTTTATGGAGACCTAGGAACTTCCCCTGTCAATGTATTCTCCTCAACTCGATTAACAAAACTCACAGAAGAAGATCTTTTAGGAACACTAAGCCTAATTATCTGGACATTAACGGGTCTCGTGTTAATTAAATACGTGTTTATTGTTCTCGAAGCAAACGATCATGGAGAAGGTGGAACTTTCGCTCTGTATTCTTATATCTGTCAACATATTAAAATTCGGAGCAAGTTCAGCATCAGGAATACAAGATTGGAGTCGGATGAAGCTGTGACTTACTACAGTCGAGGAATCCCTCTGCATACAAGGACGAGGAAATTTCTTGAGACAAATCATACTGCTCAAAACTTTCTTACTGTTCTTGTGTTGCTTGGAACTTGCATGGTTATTGGGGATGGAGCACTCACCCCAGCAACTTGTGGTAATTTCTGCTACTACTATTAAATTAGACACTTGTTTTCGACACATTGAGTTGGACATGACAATTGACAATTTGCATCTCCTTAATCTTATCTAGTCGTGTTCTTTACAGTTGCGTGTATCAAATATACCCTGAACGACAAAAAGTTAAAAACTAATAGAGCTAAACTACTATTAGCCCAGGAAACTATTAAGACTTGGATTCTATTTCAAAAGATCGAGTTTATTTAGAGTAACTCAAACCTTTATTTTGGTTAATATAACTAATGTGAAATTTCTCTCTTAACAAAAACTATTTTTTATCATTTTTTATATTTAACTAATGTAGAATTTTACATAAATAAAATATTCATCGAACTACCTTTATGCTCATTTTGTTTTCTTCAGTTCTTTCAGCCCTTCAAGGAATTCAATCTCGCTCCTCAAAAATCACGCAAGGTACGTTGTTGGCCATGAAAGATTTCAAGGCAAAAGGTGCCAATAATCAAAGCTTCTAATAACATGTTTGGCACATTGTACTATGAAACTCTGCATTTAAGTTCTCATCTTGATTACATTCGGTGTTGCCTAATTCAACATACTAAATATATCGTTTAATGTTTTCTAAGCAAAGTTCCTATATTCCATTGCTGCAGATCACGTTGTTTGGATATCTGTTGTACTTCTAATAGCCCTTTTTGCTTTCCAACGTTATGGAACTAGCAAAGTTGGCTTCTCCTTCTCTCCTATAATGTTGCTGTGGTTTGTTACCAATGTGTCAATTGGCACCTACAACATCATCAAGTACCATCCATCAATTATTAAGGCTGTATCTCCTCACTACGTTGTCAAATTCTTCTCGAGAAACACCAAGACGGCGTGGGATCTTCTTGGAGCCGTATTCTTGAGCATAACAGGTGTATCCTCAATTCCATCAAGCATGCTCTATCGGGGATTTCTAAGTATCCGACATCACCCAGAGTGAATAATCTGAGTGCATCAATATTAATGTAACACACGAGTCCAACTAGGTTTAGGCACGGATGACTAGCATTCTCTAGGACTTCTCCAAATTCTTTAAAGTAACTTGGCTGCTAACTTGCAACTTATATGCACTATGACAGGAGCTGAGGCAATGTTTGCTGATTTAGGTCACTTCAACAAGAGAGCAATTCAGGTTAGAAACAGCAACTCAAGAAATTTTGTAATTATTTGAGGGCTATCAACTTAATCAAATTAAAATAACTATGGTACCTGCAGTTGGGTTTCTCTTTCGTGGTTTATCCTTCATTAATCATCACCTACGCGGGTGAAACGGCTTATTTAGTAAAGCACCCGGAGAAAATCAGCGATGCCTATTACAGTTCCCTACCAGATCCTGTATACTGGCCAATGTTTGTTATTTCTACCCTGGCTGCAGTTGTTGCAAGCCAATCTATGATTTCTGCAAGCTTTTCAATAGTAAAACAGTCACTCGCTCTTGGTTGTTTTCCTCGAGTTAACATAATTCACACCTCTTCCAAGCATGAAGGGCAAGTCTATTCCCCAGAAATCAACTACATTCTCTTGATTCTCACAGTTGGTCTAGTCCTCGGATTCAAAGGTGGTGTTGAACTAGCAAATGCATACGGTAAGGCTAAATCTGATTAAAATCCAAGGAACTTTTCTACAATGTCTAAAATAATACAATATTGGTTGGATTTCTAATGATTATTTAGCCTGGGTTATGGTTATTGACATTTTTCCAATAACTACAGGCGTTGTTGTCATCTTGGTCATGATCATAACCACTTTTTTGACAACATTAGTGATGTTGGTCATATGGAAGACAAATATTCTACTCATCCTAGGCTTTTTCTTGCCCTACATGTTAATTGAAAGCATATTCATGACATCTTCGTTAAAAAAAATCCCACAAGGAGGATGGGTACCTTTTGCTATATCGGCTATCTTCTTGATTATAATGCTATCGTGGACATACGGGAGGAGTAAAAAGAGTGCGTATGAAGCAGAAAGAAAGATGAGCACAAGGGAACTGAATGAAATGTTATCAAGCAGCAATGTTTATCGGACACCAGGAATTTGTTTTTTCTTTACCGACCAAATCAACGGAATTCCACCCATTATCCGGCATTACATTCAGAACACAAACTCTGTTAAGGAAATTGTGGTGATTGTCACTGTTAGAACATTACCAATCAAAACTGTTCTACTGCAGGAAAGGTTCAATGTCGGGAAATTAGGACTTGAAGGGGTTTATAGGTGTTTGGTTCAGTTTGGGTACAAGGATTCTCAGGACATGAAAGGAGATGCCTATATTAATTCAGTGGTGGTAAAACTGCAAGAGCATGTTGACAATATGAATGAAAAACGAAAAATTCAATCAGCAGCACAAAATGGGATTGTTTTTGTCACAGGCCGGACAATCCTCAAAGCAAACCAGGGCAATGGAATGCTAGCACGCTTCACAATTGATTATTTATACAGATTTCTTCAGAAAAATAGCAGGGCAGCAACTTCAACACTTGAAATTCCACCAGAAAGAACATTGCAGATTGGGATGCTCTACGAAATCTAAAACTGAGACTGCATTATCTCACTACGTGGAGGTTTTTTTGCCCCTGTTTGGTAGAGATTAAAATCAGATTTTTAATAGATTTTGATAAAAATGGTTGAAAAGTTGTGGGTCCGTAAAATGTATGGTTAAAATTAATTGTTGACTTTGACGTAAATTAATTTCTACCAAACATGGGCAAACGTGCAATGTAATGTTTTATATAACCTCTTTGCTCCAGCATAATCACTTGAAACAGAAATATTTGCCTCGAGGACAAGACATTGACCCAAAAAGAAAACATGGGTGCATTAATAGCAGAGAATGTGAACATAATCAGATGTACATTTGAGCTGATTCTATGTATTACACTGGTTGCCCTAACTTTAAACCTATTGCCTAAACCATTTCGTGAGAACACGTTCTTCATATCCTCCAATACTTAAGTTTACCCACTAAATTTCTTTGTTCCCAGCAAAAGCAGAAACATCCTTGAACTGAAGCGTCCTCAGAAGTACTTAAGAAAAATAAATGTGAAATATCAATTGTTCAAAGAACGTTTCAAAGATTAACTGCACATACACAAGCATCATAAAAACAAAATATATCTTTCCTTCCGTTGTAAGTGCATATTGGACCTCTAGTCAATCCAATTTAGGGCATGAAAGACAGAGTAAACTAATTCATGCAGAAAACATAAAGACTAAAGCCTTCTGAAAGCGAAGGCCCTCCCCTCTACATACCAAAACACAGTTAGCCCATGGCATACTTCTGAGTCCAGCTCCTTGCAGTGGTCTCATACTTGTTCCTGTCTGTCTTGTACATGTGAGCAATCTCGGGCACCAGAGGATCGTCTGGATTTGGGTCCGTCAACAACGAACAAATAGAAAGCAACACCTAAAATTGGAAATCATAAAACAATTCAACTTCCTTGCACTCTGAATTTGAAAGTCTCACGGAATGCAATTATGAAGTGATTTCGTCTGGATTTTGGTCCGTCAACAACGAACAAATAGAAAGCAACACCTAAAATTGGAAATCATAAAACAATTCAACTTCCTTTCACTCTGAATTTGATAGTCTCACGGAATGCAATTATGAAGTGATCTATTCTGTGATTACATTTTCATTAAAAGCTGAGGGTACAATTTGAAGATAAGCAATCAGTTGAATTCCCGGGGTGATTGTGCCATAACTTTTACAACCAGCATTACACCACTTTTCCTCGTAATATTATACAGAGCCTAGATTGATTTGAGAAAAAAGGGGCATCTGCCGTGGGGAAAACGAACCTTGGAAATAGTTAGGGCAGGGCTCCATTGCTCCTTCAATATATCAAGGCATATGCTTCCATTGCTGTTAATATTTGGGTGGAAAACTTTTGTCCTGAAAGCAACCTGCAAAAGTCATCATTATGAATGTATAAGAAATACAAATAGTATTTTCTATTTACAAAAAGAAAAGGCGAAAAATTCAAAAGTTTCAGGACAACTAAGCATGTGAAACACCTTAGGAGGTTTGAAAGGGTAATCTGGAGGAAAATGGATAGTGACTAGGAAAACCCCACCGGTATAAGGACTATCTGGAGGGCCCATGATCGTGGCTTGCCAATGAAACATGTCCTCAGCAACAGGGCCTGAAATATGCACAAAGTGGGAGAGCAAATGAGTAACAACAAATTAGATTCTAGAGCATCTTCATCATAAATCCCAACAGGTTAGTATCTCAGTGAAAAAGTTCACAAAAATAAATTAAAAGAGTTCCAAATTATAAGGTATTCAAATACAATTAGCTCGTATACAGAACCAAGAGAGAGAAAATTACAGCTTATCATCAAATTTCAAGAAGATCATTACCAACTTAAAGTGTGAAAACTGGAAGTACAAAAGAATGGAACACTTTGGTTATGTAAACATGTATTGAACCATGGCCTTGTGGGCTCAGCAGTTGACCTGTGTTCCTGGACGCACACCTAGGTCCACAAATTTCAAGACTCGAAATACTAATGTTCATCAATTAGTCGAAGGGCTATAAAGCTTTTAAACATTATCAAGAGAAGTGATCTTCCAATCGCATTTCGGCTCATTGTCAAAACAGATGACTACATCCAGATAAACACTCTAACTGCAAAAGTACCCCAAGGAAGATGTATAGAAGTAGGAATAATAAAGCTGCATTTCGATTTGCTTTCAAACATCATTTCTGATGTTTTACTTCTTGTGAATGCTTTCAAAATTAAAAACTCCGATGTAAAATAAATAATGGATGATCAAAGCCACCTAGAACAAGGAATAAAAGACATTACATAATGCATAAAACAACTATCTCGTTATAATAAAGCTCCACTCTAACAAAACTCAGTCTAAAGAACCCATAACTGCTTTACAAAAATCAACCCAGTACAAAAAAAGATCAAAATCAATTTTTAAGAAATCACAAACAAATGTACAATTATAAGCAAACAGAAAACTCCCTTCTTTAAAAAACCCAGTTGCATAAACCTAAAGAAAAAAGTGCTTCTTTTCTTTTTTCCTTCTTTTTTTTTGGGTTCATGGAATGTTGGTAGTATACCAGCGCTGCAAGAGGTAGGAGGATCCTTCTGAAGATCCTTGAGCTCCTTCAAGATCCGCTTCGAAGCCATCTGCGGTTCCTATAATTCACCACAAAAAATCCAGATCCAACTCAAAACATGTACAATTTTCTACCACCCAAAAATTCTTCTGAAAGAAAAACACAACCCAGAAAACAATAAACATAGATATGGATCGAAAGAGTCTTAAATTGAAATTTTACCTGAAAAAAATATGATCCTCCTGCTGGGTTTTCTAGATAGGGTAATCTGGGGAGGGTAAGGAAACTTTATTACTCTTTGAGACAAGAAAAAAATAGCAGAGGAAATGGAAATTACGTGAGTAAATGAGTTTTTATAGGTGGAGATTCTAACATGGAGTCCAATGGATTAATTGGAGAAGAAGATTCTTGTTTTGTAATTTGCAAGGCAAATTTTCACTTTTGGTCCCTCAACTATAATTTTATGTAGTAGGTTAATCCTTATCCTTTCTCAACTTTCAATATAGTTAAAATAAGTCCTAACTCCTAACCAATGTTTTAAAAATTAGAATGGGTATCGACTAAGAAAAGGTAAATAATCAAGTCAAGATCGAATCGAGGTCTAATAAACAAAGATAAAAAAATAAATAAAAAGTTAAACTAAGCAAGTCGATTCTTAACATGAATCTTTATGTTCTTAACTTGCTGTGAACTATTTTCATTTCTTTTATTTTTTATGTATAAATATACCGATTTAGGTACCTATTTAATCTAGTTTTGCCAACAATAATATTAACAATCCAAGGTTTTATTAAGCCCATGTTTGTGAGGTTTAAAACTAGATTTTTAATAAATTTTGATAAAAGCTTTTTAAATATGTGATTAAAAAATTGTGGGATCAATAAAATATGTGATTAATATTTATTGTTTGACTTTAATTTCGATTTAAATCAATACCAAACATGGGCTAAATTTGTCAAGTCCTTCATATGCCCAAAGTTATAGTAGCAGAATTTGGATCCCAACTCTAGCCTATGCCAGTATGCCTAGACACTTTTAAATTCAATCGTATTTTCATAAGGATCGCAAAATGATTGAATGAAAATTTAAATGGTTTCCGCCATTATGATTTATGTTAAATTTCAAGGACTCCGTTGTTATAATTAATGGGGTATTGGAGGGATATTATTGAGAAAATAATGTATTTTAAATAATAATATGATGGAAAATATGTGGTAAAAAGTAAGAAAAAGTTATTATTGTGATACAAAATATTATTTTATTAAAAAATATGTGATTGAAAATGAATTTTGAAAGAATGTGTGTATCAAACAGGGATTAAGTATTAAACTTGCTTGTCGAGCGATAAGTTGAGAGCCAATAGTGAAATTATTACTTTTCATTAATCGAAGGGAACGGCCCAATAAAATACATTTTTGAACCAAAAAGGGCCAAATAATTCACTTTTATTCCATGTGGGGTCCATGAGAGGACATGTTTCCTTTCGGCTGAAAGGAACACTATACATCGACCTTGATTTTGTGGTTCTCAAATATGTAGTGATTATTTTAGTATTAAGGAACTTAAAATAATATTCTCAAATAACATTTTTCAAGGCAGAATTTTACCGTTGGTCCCTCAAATATTTCCAAGTTACAATCAACATTTTAAAAATCAATCGAAACATCAACCAATAAAAAGTAAAGAGTCATATTATATGTACATAGATAGATGTACACATAGGGGTTCACATAATGTGAGTGGGGTGGAGCCCATGCTACGGTATCGTGGGTCCAACCCCACTCACATTATGTGAATCTCTAGATATACACGTAGATTAATCCAAATGTAAATGTCAAGAGAGATGATCAAGTCGAAATCAAACCGATGGTAAAAAAATAAAAAAATTTGCTTAAATTGAAAATTTTTATTGAAATTAATACTTATTTATAATTTTTACAATACGGTTAAAAAAATTATTTATTTTCAAAATTGACTTTTTACTTATATATAAATAAACTTTTAAGTTTAGCAGAACATGGGAAATGAGCTGGGTGTTGCTTGCATGGACTGGCATTGGATGGGTAAATGTTGGGAGGCGGCTTCATGTGTTTTTTTGTGCTGCTTAGCCTATTATAAAACGCGTTTTTAATTTTAGGGTTATCCAATATTGTCGAGTGGGTTGGGTTGGGTTGGATTGGGATGGCTTGCCTGCAGCTCTACAGTTGCTATCAATGTCGACATTGGAGAGGAATCCTTAGCCAGTAGTTCTACAGTTGCTATCAATGTCGACATTGGAAACTAATCATGAGTTGTCTCATCGATTCTACAATAATTATCTTAATTATTGTATTCAAAATCACCCACGTCAAACTATTTTTAGATAAGACTCATCTCATTTGAAGAAATTATAGCCCCGATCAAAATGGTATCATTTGTATTATTGAAATCAATCACTTGTATTTTACTGCATTTACATACGCTAGGTAAAATGTTTTTCTTTTGAGTAATGCTATTAGCACTGCTGATGTCAATATATGTGCTATTAATGTATTATATGAAATGTACGGTTAAATAAGTCATTTAATTCTACTTTTAATTGAATTATTACATGGAGACACCTAAACTTTTTATTGTAGTGTCAGTAGTGTTTGGTATCATTAATCTTTTCTTTTTGGATATGGTTGAATGTCATTTGACTCCCCAACTTGCCTATATATTTTTATTTTTTGTAGAAAAATTAGGAGCTGTTATGGGTCCTCTAAGGCCCTCCACCTCATCCATACACCTCGTCCTCCACGTGTTAGTCGAGCTGATATGTCGTTGCCACGTGGCGGACGAATTGAATACGTGATGGGCGAGCTAATTCAGCAACCCTGAACCGAAGCGCTATCGCGCCCACCTAGTGGAATTAACGAACTCATCCGTCAATCACGACGGATGTAAAGGCCCGCACTCTATACGTTCCACCTCGTCACCTCTCTATCAAGATTTTTTTTTTGGATCTTCAAAGTTAAGTTCTTGAGTAACTGATGGGACGAGTGACAAGCTACAAACGGTCAACTCGGCTGATATGTCAAAAATCATTTAATGTCCGCCACCTATTGAGTGACAGGATGACATCTAGGATAGGACAGCATTCGAAGATCTGACGCCATGCGTCTCCTTATCCAACGGCTCTCCTCTTCCCTTTCTTGGTATAAATACACCATTTCTGGTAAGAATTAGGGGATCCGAAATTTCTGAGTTTCACCATAACTCTCCAAGATATATTTAACTTTCCCTTTAGTCGAAACATTGACTTGACTGTCGAAGTGCTCGCAGTCGCCTCCAACACCACCTGAAAAGGTTTACGAGTGACTAACGGTGTGCTACCGTGTACAGGGAGAAGCGACACGAAGACTTATCCTATTGGCCACATGTCCGATTTTTCGTGGTCAACGGAGCCATCAAAGTTTATTGAACATACTTATTTGGACTTGAGCCTCTAGATTGACTATGTTTCACGGGGTGCCTTTCTTCTTTGTATAAAAGGGGGCACTGTGCGGCAGTACTCTGCTCCACTAGACTACCTTCCGCCTTCTCTCGGTCGTTTCGGGACAAAAGAAAATTTGATTACAATTTGTAGAAAGCTTGTAATATAAAATCAAGATACATTGAAAGTAAATTGATCATTGATTTTTTGAAAACTAAAAATTACAGTTGATGAAATCAGGAAATTATAATGGCTAGTGCATGGGGAGAACACCTAAAAGTTTGAAAGATTTTTGAAAGACTAATACCCCCTATAATAGCTTGCGAACAAAAACTCAAGTGATAAGAGTAGACGTTTAAATGACGAGGAATTATACTAAACGTTTACCAATATTATAGTTATTTTACAATTGAAATAAACTATTATAATGGAAAGAAAATTACAACTCAAATTTGAACTAATATTTACAATGCGCGACTGAAGTTGGACAAATTGCGGCTGCGATTAGACTAAGAGGTTTATGTAAAGTTGCAATTCTTGACAATGTGCCACGTGCTATTTGATACAAAATCCAAAATGTTTGTCCACGGCCTGGCCAGCCTATACATTGCATGGGATAACATTATTGTTGACGTTGTAAAACTCTAAATAGATTGTTAGCAGTATGTTAGATGTCATTTGGTAACATTTAGGCAGGGATGAATTTAGGATTGGATTAAAAAAAAAATTAAAATCGGGTTAATATGTAAAAAAAAAGTCACATATTTTTTTTATAGACTAAAAATTGAAATGGTTGGGACTTGCTTGGGTGAAAGTGCACATATGTAATTAACGGTGTCACTTATAATTTTAGTGTTAGTTTAACACTCAAACGACCTCATTCTCTTTCTTGAGAATATAATGGAGTTGATTGATTAGTTTTAATGATAGTTTTGTAACCTATAATTTAAGTATTTAAAGAGGCAAATCATTTAAAAACTTGAAAGAAACAAAAGGTCAGCACCAATAGCGTTACATTTTCCCCCATCATCTTTTGAGTCCCTTTTGACTATATGATTTTCATTTTCTTAGGCACCGTTTGGTAACCATTCTTTTTTTCATTCTCATTCTTCTACTAATTTTCAACCACACATTCATTAATAAAATAATATTTTCCATCACATCAATAACTTTTCCTTCATTTTCAACCACAAAAAATGTGTGATTTGACACAAAGAATACATTTTTTTCTAGAATAATGGTTACCAAACGGTGCCTTAGTGCAAAAATTTTAAATTTTTTTCTTGTTTCAATGACGTTAAATCAAGAAGAAGTGTTCAATAATGAATAAGAACTATTATTACTTATTGGAAATAGAAAAATGCTTCATGCACAGAAGTATTATTCTACAGAACACCACTAGATACACACAATACAGATGGGTGGATGGGCTTTTTTTCATTTTTTATTCGGGTACTGCCCCATACATGTGAGTGAGTATAGAACATCAGTAAAAAAAAATTATGTACATATGGTTTTTCCCTTGGAAATAATGGGGACCGAAAGAGGGCTAAAACTTGGAAATAAAAATTTCAGCCCCCAATAGTTATTATTTGAAAAAATAATGTTTTAAATATTGATATTTACGAGAATATGTCGTTAAAGAGTCGAATTTTTTTTTTGAATTTATATATAAGAATATTTTATTGAATAAACTTGGAATTGAAAAAGCAGCCAGTATAAAAAAAAAAAAGAGTTTGCAATAATAGTGATCAAACAGAACCAATTGAAACTTTTGAAAACTTTGTCGCGTTTAATCAGCGTTGGCAGTTCACAAATTGCGTAACAAGTAACAACCGATCAAACAAACGGGTTGCGGCAAAGGTCATCGGGTCTTATCTATTCTCACCAAATACAGTCCATTTCGCCTCCACACCCCACCGTCGACCGCCGCGAATTTTGTACATTCCATTAATGTCGAGGTTCCTACCGAGCCGGCGGGTCCAAATCGAGTCTGCTCGCTACGACGATGACAATGGCCGCGCCCCTGAAACCCTGGATAACGACGGCACTGATGGAAGTGGTAGCACGAAGCTGCGGCCTTCTGATAGCAACGTGACGGAAGATCAAGAGCCGTTTATGGGAGTCAAAATCCGGAGAAAAGCCTCTCGCCTTCGAGATTATTTGGGTGATTATATCGATGTGCCATCCAGACCCTACCTCATGAGAATTCTAGAAAAACAAGGTTTTGTTTTGATTATTTTTAAATTTGTTGATGCGTAATAGAGTAATGGTTTTGGTGTTGTGGATATTTAATTTGATTTGATATTTATTGGTTAATTTTTTTGGTGATCTTGAGTGAAACTAAATGAATATGCAGAAGTTTATAGATTTATGTCATTTGGAGTATTGGTATAGTTGGTGTTTCATCACAGTTTTTAAGAATTTTAGTATCAGCTGAAATCTATAATCTGAACTGAAAGAGTTAAAACACTATAAAACTTCTTTAATCTAAATCTTTCATGAAAAGAGAGATGGCACACAAAATATCTTGAAATGGTGATGATCCTGTGAAAGAAATAGGGAAACTTCGGGTTGGAAAATTAGCTTTTACAAGTGGAGAAGACAACAATGTTTGTCAAGTTTGAAAATGAATGTACATTTGGCTGAAAATTATGTCTTGCAGTTGCTATAATCTTGTTGCCATAGTGGTATCTATTACAAGCTATTTTTCCCGTGTCCAAGTCACTGATCTGGACTGGTATATGTTACTAGTTTGAAATTTCTCCAACTATGGTGAAAATGCTAAAAATAATATGCTCATGACTATATGGAGAAGAATCACGTCTACAGATGTATATATGCTGTTGTCAGCCAACTGAAAGGTGCAGTTTAAGCCTATTTGTTGTTTGAAGCTATACATTCTGCTTGCATACTGGGAAGACGTTGTTATTTCACAATGATCCCCCCACAGTTTATTTATTTTCTTGATTATGTTATAGATGTCTCTCAGTCTGCGTTATCTTATCTCTTAATAGGTGCTTCCATTCTCTTTATTACAGGTGATAAAAAAGTTTTCTTTGCGGATAAAGTTTTAAAATTCACTAGCTCAGGGAAGATGAAACGCCGGATACTTCTAATAACTGATTTTGCCATCTACATTGTGGACCCAGACACCAATGCTCTCAAAAGAAGGATTGCACTGGCAGCTGTTGAGAAGCTTTGTTTGAGTGAACTAAGTGACAATTTCTTTGCCATTATTATTCCCACAGAATATGATATACTCATGGCTAGTACCCGAAAGACTGAAATTGTAACTGTCTTAGTAGATGCTACCAAAAGCGCATCAGACTATGAACTTGAGGTATCTCTGTCTAACAGGTAATTTGGATTCCTCTATCTTCTTATCTTACTATTTTGAAGTTCAGACTGAACTTTCTCAAAGTTGCATATCATGGCTATGCGGATTGTCAAATCTCTTACCCTGACCTTAAATTCTTTATTGGCCCATAAATTGACCTACGTAAGTGCAAAAACTCTATTTGATGATTCTTTCTTATTAAGCATATAAACTATGAGTTGTCTTCTTATGATTCATCAATCAAGTAGATTAATACTTTGAAAGAACTTTTCAAGGAACAAGTGATCCCTCTCTCACTAGGACATTCTCCGTGTCTTTAGTTCCTTGGACAAATTGTATAAAACTTTTTGGGATCTGGACTCGTCTTATCAGTTTTAATAGTTTCCATCTCTTTTTAAAGCACTCGGAGATTCCTATATGCATTTTCATATCTTGGTTCTGCATCTCCACTGATGAAAGAAGTTTATTCTTGGAGAGGATGCTGCTTTCACTTCACATGCCCTAGTGCGCGTGATATGCTTTTCCTCTTTAAACTTGAGGAACGAATAAGTACGAATAAAACAGTCCTTCTCATTAGAAAGGCAAATCACAATATTATACATGCTGTCGTGAGCCAAGATTTACAACATTCTCATTACCTACAAGACATTGTGTCATTGCTAGAGCACTATATAGAGTCATGTAATGGCAAATTTTACTCCTTACAATGAAGTATTGCTTATGTTGTTATCAGTGATCAGCGATCATCATATTTAAGCTGCACTGTCGGTGTGTGCACGTCCAAGGCTAGAAATTTGTTTTGAGTGTAGCTGTGTAGGACATCGCATGAAAATGCACTCATCGGAAAAATGAAAAATTGAAAAATGAAGCTTTAATCTTTTCTGTCACGACTTTGTTTAATTGCAGTCAATTCCATGTTTGCAGGTTCGAGTATCATGCAGGTGCTGATGTAGTGAAGGAAATTCAATTTGAGGAAGTTGAAGGTTAATTACATGCTTACAAGAAATAATGTATTTCATGCCTTACACTTTTCGAGTCCATAAGGAGAAAATAAGATTTATAGGTTAGCTAAAGTCAAGAGCGAAAAACTAAGTACTTAGCGTTTGTTTGACGCAGTTTATTTGAAAATCATTTTTCGTCAAACTTACTTTCAACCACACAATCTTCCAATAAAATAATTTTGCACATGAAACCGTAACTTTTGCCTATTTGTTAATCACACATTCTCTAAAAAATCATGTTACACTTCAATTCATCTTTCCTAAACAAGCACTTTGATACTTCATTGTGTCAAGTACACATTAAGAACAAGAACTCAAAGGTCTTGGTAACTGGTAAAGGATGGGAATATTGAAGAGAGGTGGCTATGCTGTTTTTAGAACTCACTGTGTAAGTAATGTTTGGGCCTATTAAGCAATGACTTTTAGTCGTAAGTGTTGGGAAAATTGACAGATGGAAAATGTTAAAGAAGGCAACTTAAATAAGATGGAATGAGGTAATTAGAAATGATTTTAGCTCTTCTGGTTTAGTTTGGAGATGACTTTTGTTAAAATAGACCTGAAGGCGTTGTTGAGTCGAGTTGAGTCGAGAATATTTCAGACACTGATGCATTCGTTCTGCATTATTTTTGTGATTGTGCAATATTTATATTATTTCTTTATTTCTATGTAGGTGGTGTCAAAACAAGAATCATACGGAAATGAGTAGCTTGTTGGTCTGGTTGTCCATACCTAGCGAAGAGTAAGTTTGTCCATTGCTGCAGAATTGTGCCTTGCTATTACAGGAGTTGGCTTAAATAATGGTATTGATCGGTTTTTATTCCTACTGCCCTCAATTCTTATTCTGGTTTATGCTAGGACGCCAGAAACTATAGACCGTAATTTTTACAGTAAAAAACAAATCTGAAATCATTGTACAATTTGTGGTTATTGAGAAATTCTTCCGCTTGTCAATGGTGAATTTGCTTGCTTCGAACTTTCCAAGATCGAGCATCCTTTAGTTCAATTAGTGTGATGCTGAGTGCTCGTGTCATGAAATTAGTCTCACACGAAATTGAAATTGCCTTCTCCCTAGAGATGTCAAGTGGCATGGCTCAGCACGGCTCGGCTTGGGGTTGGGCCTTACGTTTTTATTCAGGTCTACTGGTGCTAGAATATTGCACACAAAAGGAAATACTGACAAAGAGAGAACGATTGCAATGTATTTCTATTGTCCCACTTTGTCGGTTCCCTATTATAAGCTCTTGTTGACCACAACCTATAGGAACAGACTATCTACTTCTTACCCTGTTTGCATAGGCTGGTGCACAGATTTACATTTAATAATCTTGGGGGTCTACACATCTTTGCTTGTGTCTCAAAACTAATTTTTACTAGAAAGAATCCTCGAAAGCTGGTTAAAAAGATTACACAGTCGTAAAGTTCTCTGAATCCCCAAAATTTGATGAACAATATACCTGTGATGCAAAGTTCTCCAAAAACTCGGATAGAATGCTCATTAAAGTCTCTAACGTTGTCCATCATCTTTCTTTCCTCGACGGATGATTAGCTTATGAAAGGTTAGGAGTACATGTATGCTTGACGGAATAAGGACAAGCTTCATTAGATCTTTATCCTTGTGGAGTGAAAGTGAGACAAGGTTCCATCTACACGGCCTTCCTAATAACATTCATAACTGACTTGTTTTTGGCAATAGACATGCAAAACAGTAATTTATTCTCCTACCAGTTCTATATTAATACACTTCAATTTCATTACATCAAATTTAACACACAGTTCCTTCCTCACAGTACATTGAACCTATCTGACAAATCCTCCATCCTCATAGCAACCTCTATAATCTGTTGGAGACTCACCGGTGAGAAGTTCAAACGGCAGCACTCCCAAGCTGAAGACATCAGATGCCTGGGACACTGCCAGTGTCCATGACTTCTGGTGCACCATACCCTGCAACCCACATGAATGGTGGCGCTGTAGACTTGCCAATTTTGCAAAGCCAAGATCAGAATTGAATCCATATTTTATGTGAATTCAGGAAAATGTTTGATGCTTTAATGTTTCCACGTATAGGATTTCCACCGCACATTGTTGTGATATGAGCAATTCCTCTAGGCTGTACCAATATCAATGCTTAGTCGGGTCTTCCAATCCAAAGAAAATCTGTTTTCTTCAGAGATCATGAAGTTATTATGATCAAACCTTGACGATTTATCTACAAACTATTGGATTGACCAGTAAGTCGATAATTTATGCTTAGATAGATAACTTGCTAGGACCGAGTTTGATTAGAGTTGTTTTAGCTAAATAGAAGGAAGTTGCGTTTAAACATACTGTGTAGCGTGGAAGAAACACGCCCTCGACTATTGTGATCATACAGAATGAATTTATAATCAATGGAGAAGAGATATCCCCTTGGCATAACCACATTCTCGTACTTGATACTGCTGAGTAACTTCATCTGCTGCTCAAACTCTAGTATTAAATTTGAAAGACTCTCTTTCCAATATTTTTAACCCCATTTTTGGTCCATTCTTTAGTTTTGCTGTAAATATAGGCCCATGTTTTCCCCTTGACTTTGTTATCCTTGGTCCAAGAGTTCCAAACGCACATGGCTGAATTATAAAACGTACTCACGTGAACACACACGCGCACACAGATTTATTCTTAAAACTGAACATACACCATGAGCCAGTTATGATCAAATGTCCAGATAGCAAATTCTTGATCAACTACTTTTATCCTAGAAAATCAAGATAATGTTAAAAGCAATATCAAACCATGTTACCAATGGTTTCCTAGTAAACGAATCGAGAGATATTACAAATGGAAGAGAGAAAACCCTGAAAAACTACATAATCAAGACGCTAAAATCGTTTGTTATGAATGGGAGAGGATTCAATCACAGACATAGGTGGTGTTAAACTTGGTGATGAACCTGGTGATTTTGTTCCGTTCGATTGGCAATTGCTTGCATTGGTACTTCTCATGTCCTCCAACATTTTCACTACATCGCCCATCTTCGGTCTCTTCTCGGGATTTCTATCCACTGAACTCATGCCTATTTGCAACATAGTGACCAACTCCTCCTCAATGTTTGGATACCTCAAAAGCTCGACATCAAATACTTCACCGGTCCATTCCTCGTGAACGACGGAGTTAACCCACCGGACCAAGTGGATGACCTCGTCGGTGCCCGTGGCATGGATGGGAGACTTTCCAGTCAGAAGTTCGAGCAAGAAGACTCCAAAGCTGTAGATATCGGATGCCTGTGACACCTTCCTGAAGTCGGTAACTTCTGGGGCACGATACCCTGCAGCTCGAATTACTGGTGGCACGACTGGACTCATCAACGTGGCCAAGCCAAGATCTGACACGCAGCCATATCTCTGTGAGTTTAGGAAAATGTTCGAGGCTTTTATATTTCCATGAACAAGCATTCCACCACTCCGTGAATGGATGTGAGCAATTCCCCTTGCTGCACCAATTGCAATTCGTAGTCGGGTATCCCAGTCTAATGGAAACCGGTCCTCCCCGTGTTTTCCTGCAAAAATGAATCATGCATCAGAGTTCGGTCACTATAGAGTGTCCAAAGCCACGGGGTACCCGTCAAAGTTATTTCACTAGCGCACCAAACATTTATCCATTTTTATCTGTTCGATCAATAGACTATATTATGTAACAATAGCGTACCGTGTAGCAATGAAGACACACTTCCTTGATTGTAGTAATCGTATACCACAAGTTTTTCATCCTTCGAATAGTAATAAGCCCTTAGTGCTGCCACGTTTACGTGCCTAATATTTGCAACAGACTCCATCTGCTGCTCGAAGTCCTTCCGCCCGACATTAACTTCTTTCAATCTCTTTACCACAACTGTGCCAGCGTCCTCCAATGCTGCTTTATAGGTTGTGCCAAAAGTTCCCTTTCCGAGCACCTCGGCAGAAGCCATCAACAAATCTTCGAGGTCAAATACAATATTACAATCCTCAAAAAACACGAGCCTCCCATTCCCTTTTTGATGCTCAGAAGACATGTCATTCTTATTCGACTTCAGTGTGGTCCGTTTATTGTCTTTTTTCTTTCTTATCATGAACATTAATAACAACACGATCAACACTAACGCCAATACACAGCTACCGATAACAATTCCCAGTAGGGCAGGTTCACTGAGTTTTGACGAATGCCTAATTGGAGACAGAGTAGGCGGAAGAGCTGGAGGCAAAAACTTATCAGGAGAAATACTATTACCAGCAAAAACTGAAGGAGGAAATCTAAGAAGAGATTGAGGAACAACTCCTGTAAGATTATTCCCAGACAAATCTAGCCGTTTCAGACTAGGAATATCAAGATCAGGAATATTCCCGGAAAACGAGTTATTAGCAAGATATAAAGCTGCCAAATGAGTCAAATTCGAAATCGATAAAGGGATACTTCCATTAAAATCATTGCTCGATAAATCTAATACCGAAAGATGTTTCCAAACTGAAAATTCTGATGGCAATGGACCTTGAAACTTATTGAACTGAAGATAAAGAGCAGTCAAATTCCTGAGCTTTAAAAGATCGGAAGGAAAAGGACCACTAATACCATTCGACCTCAAACTCAAGATCTGAAGAGCCGATAAGCGCGCAAGAGTATTGGTAGGAATGCGGCCTCGTGCTCCAACTTCTGGCAATCGAACAGCTATAATTCTCGACTTATCATGATTACATGTCACTCCATTCCAATCATTGCAAGCAGAAGTTTTCGCGTCCCAATTCAGATTCTGCCTGTGGTCGATATTATTGATGAAATCAAGCAATGCTTGTTTATCTTCAACCGGTTCAGCTCTTGCTATGATGAAGTATAGAGCACCAAACAACAAGATTGTTGAAAAACCGAACTTTTCGCCCATTTTTCGTCCCTCAGATAGCATATTTTTTTTTCTCTTTACCATCTATACAAGCAATTCAAAATCAAGAACTAGTACTAATAATTAAAAACAGCCTTCAAATAACCAACATTTGTTAGACTCTTAAACATGTTTGGTCAACCACCTAATAGTCAAGAATTAGGCTTTATTAGACTCCAAAAAAAAAAAGTATTATAGGTGAACATTTTTCTTCCATCCTTCACTGACTTTGTTGAAATTCTAGTTCAATTTTTCTCTTTCTTCTCTGTGGCGTGAGAAAAAAAACAGTATTTTTCTAAACTTCATTATGAATGGCATAGAATGAGTAGGAAAAGACCCTATGGAAATTTTTTAAATTTAAAATCAGTCGATTTTGTTTACGTATCTATTCTAACTCTCAACGAATTCCTAGAATTTTAGGTGGGACGGGATTGTAATTCTTTCTACTTGTCGAGATAATTCTTTTTCGTCACTACATACATGTATTCGACTCAAATCATCATTAACACCAAACTCAAGAGATTTAAAGAGAAAGAAACTTACATGATGGTGGTGATGATGGAGGAGTAATAATTGAGTGCATAAATCTAAGTAGAGAGGTTTATTTTACTTATTCAACGCAAGCGGCAAGAGTGGGAATTGCACGTGAAAGTACTATAATTCTCACTGATTATGCGGAGAAGAACCCTTTTAACTAGTCCTCCACTGCGTGTCGTCGAGAGGACGTGTAACATGGGACAATGGATAATCTAACACTATTTGCTTTCTCGTAAATTATGGTAACATTCTTTGCCGTATTTGAAATAAGTAACTTATTTTATAAAATAGATTGCACATGTCAAATATGATTTGATGTAATTGCCAATCGTTTGTTGGAATAAATCGTGTTATTTGTACAAAGTGACAATTAACAATCAAGCGTAGGTTTTACATTTTTCTTTTAATCGATTGATCATAAGTGTAATCCATGACTGAATTACAAGTCGAGCTAATACGTTTAAAAAAAAAATTACACAAGAAAATTTTTTTTATATAAAAAATTTATTTTTTTACTAAAAAAAATGAATGGAGGCCCCTTAGATCCGTCAGGTGTAATCTTTTGTAAACGTTGGTAATTAATAATATAGAAAATTACTTTAATGATCACCTTGATTTCTTTTTACAAACTTCGGTCACCAATCATGAAATTAACTCAATTTTTTTAGTTTAAATAAATTTATTTAGTTAATTTACTTTGATTTTTTTGTTGTTATTTGAAAAATCACGTGTCAAATCAAGATATATCAAAACTTCACAATATATTGTGTTAATATGAATTTACTATCCATAATTTCTGAATGAGCATTTAATTCATTGTTCAATTTTTCGAGATAATTGAGATCGATATCAAACAAATAAGTCAAATGCCACGCGTTTCATGAATATGATTACTTTTTATCGAAACAATTTAAAAAACTCACAAGCAGTATCAATTTACTATTCATTTATTTTTATTTATTTATAATTTAAATAATTTTTTAAAGAAAGTACACAATTGACAGACCCCAACAAATGGCTGTTTTCACTTTGAGACCGCGATATATCGTTTTCTACACTAACTAACCAAGAAAAGAAATAAAAGTTTTTTTTTAAAAAAAAAAAAAAGAAGCTAAAACGAGAACGAGAAGATAAAATAAAAATAGAAATAAAGAAGCCCCCAAAGAATCTTCAAAACCCTAACTTCTCTGGAAAACTCGAAATATCGCGAGAAATATTCAGATCTGCTACTTCCGAACAACTCTCTCATTTCTTCTACGTAAGTTTTTCTTTCCCTTTACCTATTTATCAGCGTCTCGCCATATTTGTTTATAATTTATCGTCTGAAAAAAAAATCCAAAAGGGAACAAATAAAAAGAATTTGAAATTCAAAGTTTTTTACGGATGAAAAAAATTCATTTATTCTTCATGTTTTTTACTGGATTCTGATTATTGATCAAAGAGCTAAGGAGCAATTATTAATGATTATGATTTTTTTATGGGAAAAAAAAATCAGTAAAGTGTCAGTGTAATTTGATTAATCTTCAAATTTTTGGTGTAAAGGAAGTATCCAACTTCTTAGTGACTACAATTTCTTCAGCAGCGTTGCTATGTGATGTCGGCTATATGAGATTCGTATGAACTGTTGTTGACTGATGATGCTGGAAGACTTATTTTTATTTTTTGAGATAAATTATTGTGATTATTGTAATTGGACAACATTCAGATTTACGAGGAATTAGTTGCCTAAGTTCATTATTTCTTCTTTGATGCTATTATTGTGATTTCCAGTCGAACATATGCTGGAAGATGTTTTTGGTTTTAGAAAAAAATAGATTATTGTAAATGGAAATTAGAGACATTTTTGTGGATTTAGCTGTGTAAATGCCTAAATATTATGAATGCAGACTGCCTATTTCCTCATAATCACAGTTCAGAATGTTAATATTTGTTTCTTTTAGCTGCTCTTTAACAATTTTACTACCTAATAGCACTCTTCTTGGTAATTCTTAATGGATGATTAAAACCTACTTCTTTTGCTTACTGAATTCTTATGATGATTTACTGTTTTGGACTTTTCGTGTTATTTTAGGTGAGCACAGTGGACAGCAAGTTATCCCATCATCAGTAAGTTGCCCACTTTTCACATGCAAAATCGAGATTTCATTGCTTGTTATTCTACTAAATTGCCAATTTATATGCATGAAGTATTAATTACAACATATATAGGATTTCTCGTGCAATGGAAGATGATCTTTTTTAAAAACCCCCTCCAAAATATATATAAAAAAACCCTCAATCTTCAGAATTACGTTTGAATTAAATATAATAGGTAAAGATGTAAAATTCTATTAACTGCTCGTGATATAGCTCCTACACGAGTGGTAGGGCAAGTCTTTATCATCGCATATATCACGTCCTGATCTTTAAAAAGACAAATACAGAAATATGGAAATCCTTTCAAACGCAGTTTTACTTTTTCCTTTACCTTTATTTCATAATAAAATCAAAATGACTATATATTTCACTTGATTTTACCTTTCAAAAATATTTCACTTGATTTCCTCATGATTAGAACTTCATGAATAAGTTATTTTTTGTTGAAGAGTATGTATATATAGCTAGAGGAAAGTTTTAACAGGCTGGTATATTTTCCTTCGGGCAGTGGTTCGAGAAAAAGACATTTGTTGGGAATATGCTGACAGGTTGGAAGGAAACAAGGTGAGATGCAAATTCTGTGAGAGAATTCTGAATGGTGGCATTAGTAGATTAAAACATCATTTGTCTAGACTTCCAAGTAAAGGAGTGAATCCTTGCACCAAAGTGAGGGATGATGTAACTGATCGGGTAAGGGTAATTTTAGCAACAAAGGAGGAGGGAAAGGAAACTCCTATTGTCAAAAAGCAAAAGGTAGCAGAAGTTAAATCTCCTGTGGCGTTAAGTATCTCTCCGGCAAAGACCCTCATGGCTGCGGAAGCTGTGCCTGTAACGGGAAATGTCTTTCCATCTATCACATCATTGAGTTCTTCCTCAGGAAATGATCAAGAGAACGCAGAGAGAAGTATTGCACTTTTCTTTTTTGAAAATAAATTGGACTTCAGTGTAGCCCGTTCACCATCTTATCAGCAAATGATTGATGCCGTACGAAAGTGTGGCAGCGGTTTTGTAGGACCATCTGCTGAAACTCTGAAAACTACATGGTTGGGGAGGATCAAATCTGAAATGAGTTTACAGTCAAAAGACATTGAGAAAGAGTGGGCTATGACCGGCTGCACTATTATTGCAGAAACATGGACAGACAACAAATCAAGAGCTCTGATCAATTTCTTAGTTTCATCACCCTCAAGAACCTTCTTCCACAAATCAGTTGATGCATCTTCTTATTATAAAAATAATAAATGTCTTTCGGATTTATTTGACTCTGTCATTCAAGATTTTGGCTCTGGAAACGTTGTGCAGGTAATTGTGGATACTACTCTAAATTGCTCTGGCATAGCGAACCATATAGTGCAAAATTACGGAACTATTTTTGTGACCCCTTGTGTCTCACAATGTGTGAATGGGATCTTGGAGGAGTTCGGTAAAGTAGATTGGATTAGTAGGTGTATTCTACAAGCCCAAGCTGTTTCCAAGTACATATACAATAATTCATCAATGCTGGAGCTGATGAAAAAGTTCACGGGAGGTCTGGAGATCATTAGGAGTGGTATTACAAAGTCTGTTTCCAATTTTCTCTCTTTGCAATCTATGTTGAAGCAGAAATCAAGGTTGAAACATATGTTCAATAACCCAGAATTATCTGCAGATTTGGCCTGTGGAAAGAAACCTCAAACTGTAACTTGTGTTGGGATTATTGATGATAATGAATTTTGGAGAGCAGTAGAAGAGAGTGTTGCTGTTTCTGAGCCATTCTTGAAGGTAATGAGAGAAGTGGCTGGTGGGAAGCCTGCAGTGGGGTTCATTTACGAACTGATGAGCAGAGCGAAGGAGTCTATAAGGACATACTACATTATGGATGAGATCAAATGCAAGACATTATTGGACATTGTAGATAAGAAGTGGCAGAACAACCTCCATTCACCTCTTCATTCAGCAGCAGCTTTTCTGAACCCTAGCATCCAGTATAATCCAGAGATAAAATTTATTGGCTCCATTAAAGAAGATTTTTACAGGGTTCTGGAGAAACTTCTTCCAACACCCGAACTAAGACGAGATATAACCAACCAAATTCTTTTGTTCACAAGGGCAAGTGGAATGTTTGGTTGTAATCTGGCGAAGGAGGCAATTGAATCCGTTTCACCTGGTAAGTTTGCATTCTATCTTTGTTATTTGGCTCTATGCAATATGCTGCAAGGCAAACTTTTCAGATATTTCTATTGTTGCTGTTAGTGTCTTGATGTGGCCATGCAGCAATATCATATCATGAATGGGCTAAAATTTGTCAACTTGTAAAAGATGCCTACTAGATGTACCCATCTAAAACTCAG